TCTATCTATCTATCTATCTATCTATCTATCTATCTATCTATCTATCTATCTATCTATCTATCTATCTATACAAACACACACACACACACACATACACTGAATTACTAACTATAGGGGCTGATGCTCATCTCTGTTTCAAGGCCATTGAGCCAGTGCTGTCCGAAGACATTTATCTGGTCATGTGGACATCACAGAGCATTGTTAACTACCTACCGAGGTTGTACCTATTTATCTACTCACATCCACATTCTTTCAAACTGCTAGGCTGGCAGGAGCTGAGGCAAGGACTGGAGCTCAAACCGTCATGCAGCACTTGGGTCTTGAACCTGGGCTGCAGGCTTTCCAGCAGACAAACCCAGTGGATTTGAGCCACCGCTCCACCTGTGATTCTATATAACGGACATCAATTCATGTGCACATATACACATACATACATTCAAACACATATACTATCCTCTTCCTCCAATTTTCTCTGTTCGCATGGTAGCTGCCAACTTCCAAGAATCCTTCTTCTGCTTGTCTTTGTGGCTGCCATAGAAACAGGGGGAGGGAAGAATAATTGGGCTTCATGGGGGGAAGGGCGTTGGAGGTTTAAGTTGGTGAAATGTAAAAGATGGGATGTTTTCTTAACTATGCTTACTTGCTTACTGTGCAGATGTAGCCTCTTATCTCTCTAGGCTAAGGTCAACCATCTTGGCATACCAGATGTGTGCAATGCCACCTGAAGATGCCTCACATGACATTATACCCACATCAGATTGGAGGGCCAGTTTGGACACTTGGGGGTGGGAACATGGGATAACGTTCTATATATATGATTTTCGCACCTACTGCCTCAGATCTTGTATTTCTTCTGATGCTACCATTTCAGATTCAGTAAAAGTCCTTTTCTCTATAACAATGGAGTCTAAGGTTTTGTTTCTTGGATTTTGAATGGAGCTTCACCTGACATTATACAAGATCTGAAGCAATAGGCTTCACCTGACAGTAGCAGACATGCAAGATTTTTAAGGAATAGGTCGTTTCTGTTTTAGCAGCTGTGATGACACATCCCGCAACACCCTCCTCCTCGAGTAGCTCATGTACCGTTTGTCATCTTTATACCACTGGAATTTCGCTGATGGAACTGCAGAGGCCTCACATTGAAGGATGCCCTTCTGACCCACAGGCACACCAGTGTTCTTAGTGTCTGATATATATGGTGGGTCTGCAGAGAAAGGAACAAGTTAAGTATCTAGGGAATAGATTATTATTTTTTAACATTGGTTCAAAAACTTTCCTTCTTTGATGGGTGCCTCACAACAAACCATTCGAGTTTCATTTGCAGGATCCTCTTAGAAAACATATGATGTAGGAAAGTAATGCCCAGAACCTGATAAGATTGTTTTATAGCTAATCTGAAAGAAAGAAGTTGTTGTTTCTTTGGTCACAAACATCTGAAGGACCTTCAGAGTGACGGCATATCATTTCTTTTCAGATTCTTCACTAGAGGTGCCTCCCGAAGATGGCATTGTTTCTAAGAATACATAAGTCAATGCCACAGCAAATATATAAGGTCATAAGGGTTAAGTAAACCTCTAAATGAATGTAGGTTTGCCTGCGTGGATGGAATACCTGGGTGTACATCTGTATCCATGCATACAAAGGAAGGCTACCAATCCAGCAAACAAGCCACATTGGGAATTGCGGTCCCAACACCTGATGAACTATCAAGTTTGAGAAAGCACAACTGCCCTAGAATATATGCTTCAGTTTGTGAAGCATATTATTTTAGGGCAGGTATCCTTTCTCGCAAGGTGAAGAAGTTATTGTTACAAAATATTTGTTAGTATTCAACTACCCATATTTCCCTGGTCTTATAATTCTTTTGCCACCAAAAAAAGCACCAGGTCTTATATTTTTTGGGGGGGGATGGTCATCCACTGGCTCACGTCACTTGCCCCTGGTCTCCTTTTCACTGTGTGAGGCCTTCAGTAACTTCTTCTGTGGCAGGGAAAGTGGGCAAGGAATTTCCTGAAGGCCTCTGCAGCTGATATCCAAGCTCTGGATTGATCCAGAGCTCGGTTATCGGCTACAGAGACCTTCAGGAAAGCCTTGCTGGCTGCCGGCCAGTAAGGCAGGTGTCGGAGTGTGTGAGGCCTGGCTGCAACTGTCTGAAGGTAAGTAGTAGGGCAGCTCCATCCGCCCCCCTCCCCCTCCAGCTTAATTTTTACCTGTGCACCCTGGAGTGGGCGAGATCTTAATTAGGGCTTATTTTGGGGGTAGGGCTTATATTGGGTACACATGTAAAAATCAAGCTAGGACTTACTTTCAGGGTACATCATATTTTCAGGGAAACATGATAGGTGGGACAATATATGTATATATGTTTTTTTTTTGTCCTTTTGATCACTATTTTATCTCATTTTGTTATTTGTAAAGTTTATTTTCCTTGTTTGCATTTTAACTTTTTGAATAAAAATAAAATTTACAGAGGAAAAAAGAATACATGCTTCAGTTTATAACATATCTGTTTTCCCTCCTCTTAGTAGTTGTCTAAACTGGGACAAATATGCATTCCGAAGGCATGTTGGCTCAGTGATGAACCACGTCATTTTAATGAATAAAGTCCAAGATAAAATCAGTTAAAATGTCCAGTTAACATTCTTGGCTAGATTGAGTAATACGTTAGATTTAAGGTAAAGCATCTGAATGTCTTTGTTAATCCCTTGAAGATTAAACAGAATATTCACCCCAAAGGAGTTAATCCTCCTTCATCTAAAATGCAGGGTAAAGAAAAATGCAATATTACGCACAGTTTACGGTGACTTTTACTCTCCGCACAACAGGAGTTGCAACATCATTGGAGGCACTGCACTCGTACTCCCCCGATTGTTCCCGGGTGATGCTTGTGATCTCCAAGTATTCATCTTCACTCATGAATCCTGAAGCTGGAGAGGGCCAAATAGGAAAAAGAAGGAAAGAAGGAAGGAAGGAAAGAAAGAAAAGAAGAAGGAAGCAAATGAAAGCAAGAAGGAAAAGATGAAGAAAGGAGGGAAGAAAAGAAAAAGAGAGAAAAAAAATAAGAAAGGAAAGAAGGAACGAAGGAAGGAAATTAAGAAAAAGAAAGAAAAGAAGGAGGGAAGAAAGTAAAAGAGAGAAAGAAAAAGACAGAAAGAAAGAAGGGAGGGAAGAAAGGAAGAAGATAAATTAATTAAGAAAGAAAGAAAAAAGAGCAAGGAAGGTGAAAGAGAGATCACGAGAGAAAAAAGAAAAGGAAGAAAGAAAAGAAAGAAAGATAACAGAGCTAGACTATGTAGCAACGCAATAAGGTGATAAAATACAGAAAATAGAGAAAGTAACTTGTCGCCAGATATCATCTTTCATGCAGCATCAACTCTGTTGGTATTTCTGGATTCTACTATCAAAACATTCTCTTCATTTACTGAGTCTCTTGATGTGGAAAGCATACACAGGACATCTGAATGAGCTCGGAGGCAGCCTGGCTTGGCAATATGCCCCCAAATACCTTTGTGCAAAATGTTCTAAGTCTGTTGATTTCTTTGAAGATGCTGAGTGGAACTATTCCCTTCATCTGCAGCACAGGGAATCCTGGTTTGATGAATTTCAAACGAGACAAAGAGTGTATCTTTAAGATCTCTTAACATACATTAACGACACCCTCCGAAACACACTTGGGGCATGCTTTGGAAAAAGGTAATCCAACAACAACAACAAAAATTCTGGAGTAGGGATTATTGCAAAGACAATTAGAAGACTTGTTCTGTTCCAGTGTGCCTTTGGGGGCCTTACACTGATTTTAAATCCTCCCTTTCTCTAAAATAAAGTTCCTTCTGCTTTCCATTTGGGTTGTAATTTTACCCTGGATAGATCATCTAGGTGAGAAAGACTAGAAGCCACCATAGGAGGTCAAGCAGGCTGTTGATTACAGTTTGTTCACCCTTATACTTGGTAGAAGCAAGAGGAAACCCATATATTTCTCTAAGGATAAATTTCCCCTAGGATTTCCCCCAGAAAATAGTGGGATTTTGCATCATGTATCCAATACCTCACCATTATCCCAGAAAGCTCTTGGTATACACTTTTGAACTGGTCAATCCACAACCACAGTGGGGAGGTGGGGGAATAAATGAATTACAAAGCTTCATGAGAAGGTATCTCAAGATCATATATACATAAACTCTTTTGCCTTTTAGTAGATAGGCTTTCATTATAATTGTTCACCCACCCAATAATTCCTACATTCCCTAAGAAATCTTAGTGAGGAACTATCACTAACAGAAAAAAAAAACAATTACTACCAACCTGCCTTCCATCAAGGACCTGTATACTGCACGAGTTAAAAAGAGGGCTGTGAAAATATTTACAGACTCCTCACATCCTGGACATAAACTGTTTCAACTCCTACCCTCAAAACGACACTATAGGGCACTGCACACCAGAACAACTAGACACAAGGACAGGTTTTTTTCTCCTGAATGCCATCCCTCTGCTTAAATAAATAATTCCCACAACTCTGTCCAACTATTTACTAAGTCTGCATTACTATTACTCTTCCCATCCTTCCTTTCACCCATCTCCTCCCACGGATGACTGTATGAATGTAACTTTGTTGCTTGTATCCTTATTGTATCCTTACTTTTATTGACTCTTTCCTACTATGATTTGATTGCCTATTCGTACCCTATGACTATTATTAAGTGTTGTACCTTCTGATTCTTGACAAATGTATCTTTTCTTTTTATGTACACCGACAGCATGTGCACCAAGACAAATTCCTTGTGTTTCTATCATACTTGGACAGTAATGAATTCATTCATGCATCTTTAAGTCCAATTCTGGCTTGTTGCTTTGCTGCTTTAATGGGTTTGTTTTTAATTTTAATTTTTTTTTTCCTAACTGTATTTTATAGAGTTATCATTGTCCATTGACCCTATAGCTTGATTCCATACAGGAAACAAACCAGCAGGAAGAATAAAGCATCACTTGGAACTCCATGGGCGTAAGAGACGCTGGCACATTCCTACAAGCAAAAGAAATGAGCAATCATTTCTTTGGTCTCAGTTCTGGTTTGCCGTTAAAAGTGAATTGTGCCTGTGAGACTTCTGCCAAGTATTCACCCAGGAAACAAGTTTTCTGATGTGAAGGCAGGAAGTCTATGAGTCTCTGCCAACTTCTGGTTGGAGAATTGTGAGAGATCCAATCTTTCTCTAACCCCTGAAAGCCTTAACATTTTTTGGTCAGGATCATAGAAGTCTGTAGATATTCTCAGTCAATCCCAGTCATGGTTGTCTCAGTCAATCCCAGTCATGGTGCTTTTTCAGGAGGCAACTGGACTTGCTTGTTTTTCTTTGAAGATGTTTTACTTCTCATCCAAGAAGCTACTTCAGCTCTGGCTGGATGGTGGGGAATGGAAGGATTTATACTCCATGCGGATAGCTAGTTGTTTGCATCCTTTTAGAGGGTCGTTGAGGCCACTTGGAGGTTTATCTGTGTCCTCGGAGTCACCTGAGTGGTGCTCCTGGTTCCTGCAGTCTGCAATATTTTTCTCTGGAAATCCATTCCTACTCCCACATCATTCAAAGGGTGTTCATCCCAAATTGTATGTCTAAAAGTATGTAGAGATTTTTAATCATCCAGGTCATGATTGTCCCAAAAATGCTTTTTCAGGAGGCAAATTGCAGACTACAGGAACCAGAAACACTACTCAGGTGGCTCTGACGATGCAGATAAACTTCCAAGTGCTTCAAAGACCCCCCTAAAAGGATGCAAATGACCAGCTGTCTGCAAGGAATATAAATCCTTCCATTCCCCACTATCCAGTCAGAGCTGATGAAGCTTCTTGGATGAGAAGTGAAAAGTCTTCAAAAGAAAAAACAAGGAAGTCCAATTGTCTCTTTAAAAAGCTCTTTCGTGATGACAAAAAAATTTAAATAGGTGCCTTCAAAATAAAAGGCAGGCAGTTGCATTGCGTGCATAGTGTACACTTATTTACATTTGATTTCTAATTTCTGATTGACTTCATTCTGGGCCAGACAGGGATAGCCAAAGGGTAGGATGTGGGCTCAGGGAATTTAAATTGCCCAGGTCTGGCGCAGATGCTAAAACACATCAGATTCAAAATATTTTTTTAATCTAGTGCAACAGTTCCCCAAAGTCTTCCCAAATGCACATATCCACACACAGTATGTTCATGCAGACTGCGTGAAAATTGCCGGAGGTTTCCGCAGACCAACCGTTCTGCTGATTAGCTATATATCAAAGCCCGTATAGAGCTCATCTTTTAATAACCACAGTTCTAACTTGTTAACGTAACGAGTGTGTCTGTTTTAGTGAGCAAAGCTGCGTGTAGCTGCAAAAAATAAAATAAAATCACAGGCTGCCGCATCACAGCTTTATTCACTTATTCAAAACAACCTTGATCTCTGACATCAGAGGAGAATAAATCAAATATGGTATCAAGGAAAACTTGCAAGGAAAGGAAGAAAGGGAGGAAGGAAGGAGAGAAGGGGGGATTCCTTTAAGGATTGTAAGAAGTGAATAAAAAAGAGGAAGGCAGGTAAGCATTTTCTTATTTATTTCTTTTAGATCACTCCATCTTCTTTTATCAAATATTTGCAGCCGTAATGATGTAATTACTGAGCAAAGAATGTCTGGGACCAGTGTCACACTTAATATTCCCATTAATTTTAAATGGTAGTTCTTGGTACATATGTCTGGCAAATGGTGTCATATTTTAATTAGGCTTGCCCTACACCATCTGAAATTAATAATAGCTTGAATTACCAGTGTAAATTATGAATTAAAATTGCTGCAGCATTAGGAAATAAATTAGCTCTGGACAGCTGTTTTCTGCCATTGGACGACAATGGCAGAGAGAACCTTTACACATCTCTCACTACACAA